GCATTACCGCCACCAGCTGCTTGAGTCCCTCCTTCAAAAGTGGTTGTAATACCGCACATCGTCACGAGGAGTCGAGGAGTCGAGATAACCGAGATAAGTGTGACGTGTGAACGGTCGTCAAAACTGAGCTTGGCCTGGTTACCGATCCAAGCTCGGACCGGTCTCGGCCTGGATCGGTTTTTCAAGGGTAGTGTAAATGGGGCTTATGTCATGTGGTTTTAGAACATCTGGCCATACATTGCGAGCTGGTACTCGGTTTTTACTTTGACTAGGCCACCCCCAAAGAATGCTCTGATCTAAACTATACGCGTCGAAGTGATTTATTAAGAAGTGACTTCTGAAGGTTTCGGGATATCTTAGTAACAGGCGCAGTTTAAAAAGAAAAGTCATGTTTTTTTAGCTTTTAGTTTGAATTAAATGTTTAAAAATATTGGATCTTATTCCTTCAACTGCTACTTTGTGTTGCTCCATCACATCCTTCAAAAATACTTTAAAAAATGCACTAGATCAGGGGTGTCAAACTGGTTCCAGAAAGGGCCGTGTGGCTGCAGGTTTTCTTTCCAACCAAGCAATAGCACACCAGACTCCAGTCATCTAATCAAGTGAGTTCAGCATTAACATGATGACATGACGATTGACTGGAGTCTGGTGAGCTATTGCTTGGTTGGAAAGAAAACCTGCAGCCACACGGCCCTTTCTGGAACCAGTTTGACACCCCTGCACTAGATGAAACATGTTCAGTTGATGGTCTTTGTCTGTTGTTCAGGTCTGGCATCTGGATTTGTCACCCTGCCTCGCCTGTCCCGTTCGGAACGCCAGCAGCCATCCATCTCCTCTCCCACTTCCTGCTCCCTCAACATTCACCGCGGCTCCCTGACAGATCCATCCGATGCCATCTTGTCCACCAGCACTCCCTCTGTTGTGACCTCCGAACCCAATCAGACGACCCACACCGCATACTCCGACTCCCTCAGCTCCCTGGACACCTTTACCTTTGACCTTGGCCCTTCCCTCCTGAGCGAGGTGTTCAGCCTGATCGACGGCGGCTCAGATGAGCACGTTCCCACGTGGGAGGAGGAGTCGGCACGTGGGCCTGCCAGCGACGGGTCGGAAATGGGTTCAGCTACTATTTCCTATGTGGATTCCTTGCTGAGGGAGGACTGCAGTGGCAGGAAGAGTCCACATGAGCATGAAGAGGAAAGCGTGGTGAGGGGATTCTCTGGGAAAGTTCCAGATGTGTTGTTGGGTTCTCCTGAGCGAGTGGGGATAAGGATGGAGAGCGAGCGGTTTCAGAGTGCTACCGACGTGCTAGCACGCCACTACGGCGTCAGCCTCCTAAAAGGACAGAACAAGATGGAGGCTGGAGAATCAGAGATCCAGAGTCCAGACAAAAAGAAAATATCCTACAGTTTCATGGACGATGAGGATGAAATCAAAGTCTGACAGGGGAAAAAATCCTTTAATTGGGTAAATCATTCCCTTTTAAAACCAATCCAGTTTATAAATATGGGCAGAAACCGGTTTTGCAAACAGAAACACAGATCCAGTGTTCTTAAAGTTTAGTTCTCCATTTCTAATGAAACCCTTCCTCAAGTATGGCTGAATGGAAAACAGAAAATCTGCAAGAATTCAAGGATTTTAAAACAGAAAGAAAGAGGAGACGTGGAAATCAGAGGTGTGCCAAAGAAAGTAGCCTAGATCACCTTCTGGGGGAGGGGAGGAGGGTCTGAAAGTGGAAGTTAAAAAGCCTGCCATTCGCTTGGTTCCCCTCACACTTCCTCTTCTGCTAAAGAAACATCATCTGAGTAAGACTACATGATGATAGCCCAGAGGGGAAGTCTGAAAAGGAGATTTTAACTGTACTGCAACCCAATAAACTGTTGCCGACTTTTTACTCAGGAATAAAACCGGAGCAGAAAAAAGGGAACAGAAGTAATTAGCAATAAATTTTTATTTTAAATTGTGCAGGAATCTCCTGAACCAGATCTGAACGATTACACTACAGGGGCTTAGGAAATAGGAACTCCAGTCACATTGCACATTGTGTTGTATCTGTTTTTTTATGTGACAAACACAAAGAGACGCATAATTGACTCTTAAAAGCAAGTGATGGGGCTCAGTTTTATTTAGGAATGCCAGATGAGATGGGTTGGGATGTGAATGCATGCCTCACTTTTAAAAATTTACTTTTTTCAGGCTGGAAAATCATTCAGTTTCCTTCCCTACCATAATTATGCAGAAACCTCTGCAGTTTAGTCACATGGACACCAAATAAAACATAGTTTGAGGTCATGAATGTGTCTGCAAGGCACTGAGGAGACTGAAGCATGTTTCTCTAACGCTGAAAATGTTTAAATATATATATAAATATATAAAAACCATGTGCACCTTCTTTTATTTTTATTAAAAAGTCCTGTATTGCCTTTTGCAGATGTTTTCTTTTGTTCTTTATCGTACCTGTACATGAAGATATTACCTGATCTTTGATTATGTACTTTACAGTATGAGCACCTGCAGTGCACAGTGCAGTTTTTGCCCGTACCCAGAAACAGTTATAAAAATGATTATATGAATGGACAATAAAGACATTTTTTAATTAGATTTGCATTCATTTACATTATTTTAGAAATATAAAGCTGGATGGTTGCAATTGCTACCTTTTACATCAGCATCTTTGTTTTTGACAACAACAAGAAAGCAGTTCAGTGCATCCATAGTGACTCTGACCATTAGGAAATAAAAAATAAGAAGAAATGAATAAATAAATGACTTGTTACAACAAAAGAGAGATACAATTTTAAAAATTAAGTAAGCTACAAAAAATTTACTTAAAATGGCAATTTTATGAAAAAGTGGGAGTGTCCACAGCATGTGCAGCAAAGGTGAAGAAGAAGATAAGACTGCGCCGCTCACTGAGCCACAGAGGGAAGCTGTTTTGGCTGTGAGGGTGGAGGAAGTGGGGGAGGACAGTTCGGAGCTCTGACCCCGGGCTTTTTCGGTGGAGGCTTTTTGGCGGTAGTAGGCAGAGCACGTGGTGCAGGCATGGGTGCAGGCATGGGTGCAGGCATCGGCGTGGTGTCTGCTGCAGCTGTGGTTGGAGGGGGAGGGGCTTGAGCCCTTGAAGCTGCTGGGGGTTTTACTTTGGAGAACTGGATCGCCACCTGCTCATTGGGGTGTGTGGGTTTGATTGGGTTGAAAGTTCTCTTTGCTGTTTAAGAACAATAAATAGAAAAATAAAACAAAAATTAGCTCCCAGAAGTTCTGTTGTACTCTTGTGCAAATAAATTGCAAAAAGTAATTAAAGAAGAGGTAAATAAACCCAAAAGCTGGAACATGAGAAGTGTCAACAACAAAAACATTATTTCATTAAACTCGAAACATTCAAATGAACCGGTTTGGATGTAATTCTAGTTTCAGTCAAACCTCAATTGTGTGACACGGGGGCGGAAGGGTGATGATTGGGGCTCGTTTTACAGCCACAGGATCGAGTTGGTTTTAAGTGGGACAGGAAAGTGATACCACGCATAGCGACACATCTACCAGTACACATTAAGAGTGAAGAAAAAAACTATTCCATCTGATGTTATTACCATTTCAAAAGCTCAGGATACATTTTCATCTACAATTTAATTTAAATAAAAAAGCAGTTTATTAAAGACATTTAGAATTAATCATACTTGCTTAATTAATTGCATCTATGTGTACAATATGTTTAAGGGACACAGAACCACAGTGGCATTAGCTCAATTTTAATTAATAATGTCTTTCTTAACCATAAATTAGGATTTTTAGGGAGATTTTAGAGTAAAATCTGTTTCCAAAAAATGTTTCTGTCTAGTCAACGTGACACATGGACCTTGATCTGCTGTCATTTTGGTCACTGATGTAACAGACTTCCTGTTTCCTGTCTACATCCTGGTTGTTTGAACAAGATCAGTTTATTTATTTTTTCCTTCTCTTGCCGCTACCTCGATTTTATTAGACTGGTAAGTAATAGAAACTAGTAACCAAGAAGATGGGTCAGAGGTAAGTTTCTGTTTGTAAGGAAAATAAAACTAACTGGCCCTTTATGTGAACATGAACTATTTGTCTGCTGGTTAAAAAAAGCATATATGAAGACGTTTCAATCAGTAGGTCTTTAAATAAATGCTGCATTATAATCAGGCCAGTCGGACCTCTCAGAACCACCTTCACTTACGTTTATAAGGTGATCCTATCGTCAAAACCACCTTAGGGGAGTCAGGGGGTGCCTCCAGAATTGGCTCCAGTTGGACCTGATCCAAGCTCTGCCTTTGGGTGGGGTTCCTTATCTGGGCAGCTGGGTTTGGTGCTGGCACTGTCGCTCTGGGAGGAGGGGACGGAATCTGGCTAAACACGGAGCTGGAACCAGAGGAAGAACTGGGAGCTGGAACTGTGCTGGACTCGGATGTGGACGAACTGCTGGAGGCTGTGTTCTGATTGGCTGCCGTCTCAGAAGCAGGGCCTCCCCATGAGGTGACGCCGCTGCGGCTGCTCACAGAACCAGATTTAGGCCTGAAGAAGCCACCAGAGTCCTGAAAGGGTGTGCTGATGGAAGAAAAACACTCAGGGTTGGAAACTCGTCATGGTGGGAATCTCTCAGTTGACTGTCATATAGATATATTATATATAGATCAGTAGATAAATAAATATAGAGAGATATTATCTAAGATGCAAATAATCATAATAATGAATACAGTCTCATATTTATGCACTGCTAGTCTTCAACACGCTCTGGGCATCACTCTGGGTGGAGTTTCTCATTTTATCTGGTTGGTTCCTGTTACTAACGCATCTTTTTAAGCACAATACATGCATTTTATCACAGAGCAGAGCTCAGTTCACCTCCAGAAGTTCATTGTTAGCTGGTTTTATGTTTTGGACCTATTCTGATAAGCTGAGCCAATGTGAATGTGGAGGTAGCCTTCTTTCCACATTGTCTTATCCACTATGTACAATGAGACAGTTCTACATGCAGACCTATGACCCCACAGCATCATACCACCACTACTATGTCAAAAAGCTGTTATAACTTCCTTAACCCCACCTCTGATCATTGTCTCCCCTCTTAGTCCTACTGGTGTCTCTCAGGTCATGTAAGGGTTGACCTTTCAAACCCATCCTGTTGATGGTTTAGATCAGACAGTTGAAACTTGAACACAGTCAGATTTTTCAACTGGACACAGACCCCTAAATTGCTTTAGAAGCAGGCAAACCAGACTAATACAGAACTTAGTGGCCCAGTATACACATGAATTAATGTGTATTTAATAATAATAATAAGCCTTTTGGTGAATTAAAGACAATCCACGGTGCCTGTAACCAGTACCTGTTTGTTTTGGAGAGCGGTAGGTGATGGGAGGAGCAGGAGGACGTTGATGAAGAGGAAGACGCTGTTCTTATCAGTAAATCCTTCTCAGGGAAGAACGACTGGGCAGCAGGAGCTGGTGCATCTGGGACTTCAGGTAACTCAGGGATCTCAAAGCAAACAGCTGATAACAAAAGGAGGATATAATACAACCAGATAATTAGATGTTAGATCTTTTACAGTATCACAAACTCATCTGAGTTTCTTATTTTCAACAGCAATCGGTCGCACAACCTTCATGCACGCTGAAGGAAATCTATACGGCATCTAAATCTGTGGTTTAACTTTGACCCGCCGATTTAGCTGTGGTTTGAGTTTGTAGGGCAACCGGTGCAGTGCCTTACAGAGAGGGTGCAGCAGCAACAATAGAAGCATGAACTGCTCAAAATGTCTTTCCTTCCAATCAAACATTAAATTTTGCTGCAAAAAAAAAAAGATTTCCTCTACAGTCCTTAAAATAAATGTGTAGAAATGAAACTACAGGAAGTATTCAGTAAATATTTAAACCAGCAGATTAAAAATCTTAAATGTACATTTTGTTGCTCCCTGAGTTTTCTTGAATATAATTCTGGCTTAAATACATTTAAAAATGAACTGAGAAATAAAGGTGGTAATAAGGAAATAACTGAGCTTAAGAATAGTACCTAATTTGTCACTTTGCAAAGTCAGTGGCAAAGGTTTCTGTTTTATCTATTCTGATATCATGTCTGTTCAATCTAAACACTTAAAGCACATCTTGTTTCAATCCTACAGTTTTATCTGCTGTTACCTTCTGGAAAGAGACTGGAGCTGTACTGAATTAGAGGCTCAATGACTGTCACCACCTGGACTGAAGAGGCTGAAGCCATGTCAAACAGAGCAGCTTCCCTGATGATGAAAGCAGATCAACAAGAGTTTATAACGCATAATAATAAAAATCTAAGGCAGAAAACATAAGAATCTTGAACATATGGCACATAAACAACATTTCCTGAGTTGATCTGTCTGAAATGATGAAAAAAAAAAATTGAATTCTTCATTATAGTCCAACTTTTTTAGGTGTATTTTTTAATTTAAAACACA